GTTTCTTTGCTTATCATAATGTATCTTTGGTCTAATATTTTCATAATGTTCTTTGCCTATATTGGTTCTGTTAAGATAGTTGGATCTATTTAATGTTTCTTTATGATGAAAAAAAAGAAAAACCAAAGTATTGACATTATAAACCATGAGACTTATTGTACTGACAAGAAAAGACAATAATCCTTGATTGAGTTATGTTGTGTGGTAGTTATAAAAATAACCACTATTTAGTATCACTCAAGAGGAAATCAAACATTTCAAAAAGGATCAACTATCACTGTAATTATTATTAGTAAAACCTTTTAACTAAGACCCTTCATAACCTTGAAGAGCTTACTAATTCTATTTTTCAAGGTAAGAGTAAAGATTAATAGTAAGTATGTGGGAGAAGACAATGAATTAAAGTGTTAAATGTCTAGCTAAAGGTCAGAGCAGTGAAAATGACGGAGACCAGTTTGACAATTTCTACTGGAATAATAGAAAAGAATAAAATTTTTTGACTTAGGATAGCAAACTTTAAAAAGTTTCAAGTCCTTAAATATTAATGAAAGACAACGAATGTAAAGTTATGGACAGGGAACTTAATACAAAGAACAAAACTATTCCATTGTAATTTTTGGCAGCTTATTTCAAGAGATAACTTTTACTTTTCCCTTTATTACAAAAGGAAAAATATCTATGTTGCATGATAATAAAAGAACCAATCTGAGGAGCCATATAACAATATGGCCAATTGTGCTATGTTGCTAATAATAAATAAAACAAGTATGATGATTATAAGTATTATGTTATAGCATCTACTACTGTTAGCCTCTAACTATGTACAAGGTACATTACATACATCATTTTATCTATTAAATAGGAAAATAGTTATCATTTATATGGCATTATATAGATAAAATTATTACCAACCCTTTCAACACAAGCTTTTTTGCATGTTTCATCAATTAAAAAATTTTAAGGCCATTTATCTCACTGTCGGAGAAGCACGGCCTATACCCTGAGTTTTTCCAATAACATTATTGACTTGCCACTGCTTTCTTCCCCCTTACTTGCCACATCATTCTGCTTTTAAAGAAATGCAATAGAACTTGGGGGAATGTAAGATGTAAAAGTCTCATTTTAATTATCAAACGGCTTATGACAGAAACTAAGAATATACTAAAGACCTACTTCAAATGATTACATATAGAGAAAATTCACTCATATATTTTAGAAGCTGTTCATGCATCCTGCACATAGGGCTTAGTAACAAAAATCAATTCTCTTATTTCCTCCACAACAAGGGTTACCGACACAATGTGGACTGGCTATCCTATTGTTTAATAAATAGTTTATGACAGGAGAAATGATTGTTTGAACTTTCTCATAATATGTTTTGAATTATATTTATATGCACATAAATACAACTGAATACTCCTAGACCAAGCATTTGTCAAGTACAAAGATACAATTGTAAAAAAATGGGGAAGTTGAGTTTGAATCTTTAATAAGCATAACACAAGATTCCTAATTGTACATTTCAAATGACAGTAAAAAATCAACACAAGTAATTTACCTAAATTTAATCTGAGAAATCTATCCTTGAGAAAAATCAAACAATAGAGGTCATATATATGTTATACAAAAGGAAACAAAGCAATCCATACTCCCTTTATCCTGTGTTAAAGATCAGTAGTAGTCTAACACATTAAATTTTCTCCAGATTTAGAAACCTGATGCCTCGCCACCTCAATGTTCCACATGACCATACTTTTATGATTGTAGACAGTCTAACTTGTAATTTAAGATTTGCAATAGAAATAGTATGTGGCGATAGAAAAGTTACTAAGCAAAACCCCTTTCACAATTATTTGGAAACATCCAAGGTGATGCCTAATGTTTGCTGGGCTCTCTCTAGTTTGACAAAATTATTTTTTAGGTAAATGCTATCCTTAACAGACAGTACAAAGTTGTAAGATTTTGTCACAGTATTAGAGAAGCTATGACAACCCCTCATTTGCAAGTTTTCTGCCATGGCCGGTGTGACTCAGTGGGCTGGGTGTCGTCCCAAAAGGCAAAGAGTCACTGGTTCGATTCCTACTCACATGTCTGGGTTGTAGACCAGGTCCCCAGGTGGGGGCATTTGAGAGGCAACCAATCAGTGTTTCTCTCCCTCTCTTTATGCCTCCCTTCCCCTTTCTCTAAAAATAAATAAAATCTTTAAAAAATTAGTTTTTCTGAATAAAATACTAAGCTGATGATCAGGTAATTAAGATTTGAAAATGGATGAAATGTACGCTTCTTTAGGTAGACACTGCATTACCCTAAGTCACTTGAAATATTACTATGTTGAAACAAGACAACAGAAATAAGTTATATTCATGCTAGCTGACTTTCAGAATAACAGGAAAGAGAGAAATATATTGGTTTATTCCAAATTCTTAATAGGAGACCTACATTAATTGGTGCGTACATCTTAACTGAGTAAAAATAAGTTTCTATTTAAAATAAAACTTTTAGGCAGTATCTCAGAGGTACCAAAGGAAGATGAGATACCTAGAGGTATGTTAGAAAAAAAGACATTTCATAGTAGGTAACTCCATAGTAATTTGAAAGGTAACTTTTGTCGACTTTATTTTACATTATATTAGGTAATTTTTTTTCTAGTTTTATCTACTTGCATTGCTAATATCTATTACTTAAGTCTCTTCTGTATAAGTTACTTCAACTCTAAACTTCTTGCCAGATACCTGCCATGGAGGCATCTTGGACCTCAAAAAACTCAAAGCAGAGTAAATAGTCACCCATGTACTAAATTCTTAATAAGCATTTGAATAAGCAATGCATACAGCATTGAATGGATTAACATAAAATGAATTCTCATATTCTCTGTTCTTCCTTCCAATCTTTATAGTCACTATGCTATACAGAACATGATGTCAGAGACCATGTCCAGTTTTGCTTACATTATTTCTTTGGCATGGGTTTTCGGTAAGTGTTTTAAGAATGCATGAAACTTTCCCTATAGTATAAACGGCTGTGCCATACTACAGTGGTCCATCTGACAGTCATCATCAGAACATGTTTGTGCTTATAGACAAGATCAACACAACAGAAATGGTAGGAAATTGAATAATTGAAGTAAATCCCTTGTCGATAAGCATAACATGGATGATATTAAGTATAGAACATTAAGTATAGAAAAGAGACTGAAAGCCCTGGTTGGTGTAGCTCAGTGGATTGAGCACGGGCCTGCGAACGAGACAATCGCGGTTTGATTCCCGGTCAGGGCACATTCCTGGGTTGCAGGCTGGTTCCCTGCAGGGGACACATGAAAGGCAACCATACATTGATGTTTCTCTCCCTCTCTCCTTCCCTTTCCCTCTAAAGATAAATAAAAAAAATATTTTTAAAAAAAAAGAGAGACTGAAAGAAAATGTTTTAGTACTTCAATCACGAATGCAATAGAATTTCAGCAGATTTTCTGATTCAATCAGGATCCTGGCATGCCACCATCACTGAGTGTAACATATGGCAATGTTTTACTTTAAAAACTGCTATTAAAAATGATTAGAAAAGATATATTATTCTTCCCAATTTCTTAGATAATTACCACTTGACCTTAATTGGTGGGGCTTAACTGCTTTTTTGTAAGTGTATGAGTTGCTACCATTTTCTAACAAATTTCTGGCACATAACGGGGGGGGGGGAGTTTTTGACTAAATAAACAAAATAAGCTTTAAAAGAGCCTTCTTTGTTTATCATAAAAATATGAAGGTATAATTTTTAGCATGTATCCCTCATGATCTTTAGGATATAGAAAAAATGACAGAATATTTCCTCCAGGAATAGAATTCTTTATTCATAGTGTTAAACTAAAAAGGAGTTAAAGATAGTATTTTAAGATAACTTTTCATGGTAAAGGTCTTTTCTATTGATAGGCAGAGTCTAATTACCCTTGCCTTAAACCTGGGCTGGCTTTATTGACATGCATCATCAAAAGACAACAATGGAGGTGACATTCCGGGGCTTCTGAGCCTAGTTAAAAGAGACTTGCAGCTTTGCTTGACTATTTTAACATTCTTCTGCTATGCCTGAGTCACCATGATAGTAAGTCTGACTACCCAGGGGACTACATGATGGAAGGACTACAGGTAGGTACTCCCGGGTTCAGCTAGTCGACATTCCAGCCATTGGTACCAAAGTGCCAGATATGTGAGGAAAATAGTTGTGGACCTTCCAGGACAAACCACCTGCCAGTTAAATATTAGTGTGGGCCTTCTTTTGATTCATAGTACATTCAGCCAGCCCCTGGTCCATTTGCCAACTCACAAATCATGAGTTATTAAAAAATAAAATGCAATAGAGTTTTAACAAATTTTGTTTTAAAACTGTTAGCTCTTTGTTTTGTGGTAATTTGTTATAGAGTAAGAGATAACTGGAACACTTAGAACTAAATACTACAAGCACAACTTGAAACAATTTATATATATATTGAACCTGTTGACCACCTTCTCAATTGCTATCTATACCTGGAATGAAAAGCTTCCTAAGTGGTTAGTTCTAAATTATCATATAGGTATAGCATCAAAAGCCTTAAGTGAATCTTTTTACTCTCCAAACTTTTTTCTTAGTTATGGTTGACTTCTTCCCCTGAAGGCTATTTTTGCCAACAGAACTTGTGTAGCTTCCATCTTTTTATTATTCTATCCTGTAAGAGTTCTTAGGTTAAATTCTGAACTCTCACAATAGTGATAAGGTAAGGAATGGAATGAAAAAGTAGAAAGCCAGTAAAAAAAGTATTGGCCACTATAAATGAAAAGAATTATATTGCATGATACAAGCAAATCAAAGAGCTAGACTCAACAAACTAATCCAGATGGCTCAAATACCAGCTGATATGCATGTCCCAATGGGTCAAATTATCCCATTAAAAGTCTGAAAGTGAGTTTTGTATGAAGAGGTTAATTGTATATTGAATATTCAGTATCTGTAGCCAGAGAGAAAATCCTCTTTACCTGAAAATCAATATTGTTGTCAATACAATGTTCATTCTTCTCTGCCAAAATCTTCCCATAGTTCTCTGATTTGGTAAGATTTTCAACTCTGGTTGTATCTTCTACTTCCACCTCCAAATCCTTCATTGCTTCAGTTTCATTTTTTGTATTAACAGTATCAGACATCCTCATCAGCAAAGGTTATTTTAGAATTCTATAGGGAACTTGAAGCCTTAGAAAAAAAGAAATAAAATTTAATTTGGTTTGAAACCTTTCTTGCATTCAGTTATCACTAATACTGTCTGAATACTTTCTATGTTCCAGAAATAATGTCAAATGTACACAGAGAGAAGCAAAATCTCTGCTTTCAAGGAGTATGCAGCTTAGTGGCAGACCAGCTCAAATTACAAAAGAATCATAATACAATGGGAGAAGGATTATCATAAGAATTCGTGGTGATTTTGATGCATAGACCACTTGTGAAAGCTTTTAAGAAACCTTAAGGAATAAGCTATATTGAGATGGGAGGCTGCAGCTGGAGTATTTTAAATATATATTTAGATGACATTAGAATTTTTCCCCTAAAGGGATATTGTGAATATCATTCTATGAGAAAAATATTTTCCTATCATAGCTTCTTTTTAGAGTTCTAAGATTCCAAATTTCTTAAACTATCCTGTGCTTTTTAAAAAAATAATTTAAAAAATAAACAGCAACATTCTATACAAAACACAGTTGTGTATCTACATTGGTAACTGTTTGACAATATTAATCAAGTATTTGAAAATTCTCCTGACTTATGTGATTGAATGACAAACAACACATATTACTAGTATGTCTGTTATGTATACTCCCCCAGTATACTTACTCCATATGATGCCCAAATTATTTCATGCTTTCAGTGAGTTTAAAAAAACACTAGGGGCTTTACATTGAATATGAAATAAAATGTATCAGAGATAGCTTTCATTTTAGAAAATGTGAACTTGAAGAGCAGAGCTGATATGATATAGATAACTTTTTAGTTCTAGTTTTATAATCAAGTACAAGTTTAAGGTGTGCAACATGATGATTTGACATAAGTATATATTGGTGAATGATTACCACAATCTATCACCTCACAATTACAATTTTGGGGGAGGGTGAGAATAAAAAAACATATTTTGAAGTGTGTCAAAAAATTTAAGATTAATTGATGGCTCGATAGAGCAATGGATATAGATGGACAGGTACAGGTTTAAGTAAGTATGATAAAATGTTAATGGTGGAATGTTGGAGTGATTATATGGTTGCTCAGTATAAAATTCTTTCAATTTCTCTTTACTTCTGAACATTTCATGATAAAGTCTTGAGGAAAATACATCTGAAAAGTTTTGAACGAGAAAGAGAAAGAGAAAGAGAAATAAATCCTAAAGTCACAAGTAGACTCAATTGAATAAAGAACATGTCTTCCTGCTTTGGTTGGTGTGACTTAGTGGATCGAGCAACAGCCTGCGAACCGAAAGGTCACTGGTTCAATTCTCAGTCAGGGCACATGCCTGGGTTTTGAGCCAGGTCCCAGATTGGGGTGTGTGAGAGGCAACCAACTGATGGTTCTCACATACTAGTATTTTTCTCCCTCTGTTTCTCCCTCCCTTCCCCTCTCTCTAAAAGGTAAATAAAATCTTTACTAAAAAAAAAAGAACATGTCTTCCTAAATTATATTCTGTACCAAGGTTAATTGTTCATTATCAAAGCAATAAAGTTACTAAGTAGAAGAGAGTTACTTAAAATACCCTGGCTCTTTGCATTTCATATGTAATATTTTGAAAGAGAAATGAATGTGTTTTTCTCAAGGGACAAGAGAGGTTACCTGATGTGTCCTATGGATTTTGGATTGTGGTATCCCACAAAAATAAAATAAAATAATCCAAGGTTCTTTTTCACAGTTGTCAGCCAGGATGTCAATTGTACTGAACCGTCTGGAATCTGGCAGGAGGAGTCCCATGTCCTTGTCACCACTGTAGATTCCTGGACTGAAATGTACTGTGGTGGATAAAATATACCATACCTTTCAGTGGCCTAAAAAATAAAGTAAAACATTTAAACAAAATAGTCAAGTGAAATGGAACTTTTTTAGTAAACTGAAAATTAAAGATATTACTGCTGGTGATTTTATTTTCTTGTCTTAAACACAATCACAACACTAAGTTTCAACTAATTCTGACATGAATTTCTTTTGTGAGGCTGAATAACTCACTGAGGCCACCTAGAGAGTTTAGCAGGAAAAGCAGAAGGGAGAAGAAAGGTAACTAACATTAATAAGAACCTATGTGGTCTGTGTTGTAAGGGAAATATTATCATCATTTATAGATAATAAAAAAAGGTTTGCCTGGGATCAAAACCAGGACCACCTGACTCCAAGAACTATGACTTTTAGAATTTTCACCCAAAGTTAAAATACCTTAGAATTAAGAGAATAATTTTGAATAATAATCACACTCTAGATCTTTAAAAGAACAAAAGATTATGTCATTCAATATTTTCTAGTCATTGATCTAAAAGATCAATGCCAATATTCTGTTATCTACTTTTTTTTATGCCTAATTCTCATTATTGAAGGTAAAGTTTGGTATATGACAATAATTGATATTTATATACCTTACAAAGAGATCATAAAAAGTCCAGTATCCATCTCTTACTGTACTAAGTTGTGATATTACTGACTGTATTCCCTATCCTTACTTACACTTCCATGACTTTCCATGACTTATTTGTTATAAATATATGTTTGTATCTCTTGACTCCTTTTACCTTTTTGCCCCTTTCCTCAACATCCAGTCCTCTGACAACTATCAGTTTTCCTGTGTCTGTAACTCTGTTTAGTTTTTTAGATTCTACATATAAATGAAATGATAAAGTATTTGTCTTTCTCTGATTTATTTCACTTGGCATAATACCCTGTTGGTCTATCCATGCACACACAAACAAGGTGGGGCAAAAGTAGGTTTACAGTTGTGAGTACATAAAAGTATATTCTTGTATTATTATTTATTAGTTGCTATATTATTTTCCACATGACAACTGTAAACCTACTTTTGCCCCACCTTGCATATATGAGGTCTATACAGAAGGTATCCAACCATATAATATGACAAATAGAGACATTCATTGAAGAAGATACAACATACAAGAAACACTGTACATAAGACAATGATGCCTCAGTCCCCTTCAAAGCAGGCACTTTGAGTCTCACATGGTTCTCCCAATCACCATCACCTACCCCATCATATTTTCCTGAATCTCATTGATGGTCTGTAATCTCTTCCCTTTCAAAGGTGTTTTTAGTTTTGGGAAAAGGCAAAAGCCAGAGGTCACCAAATCTAGGCTATAGGGGACTGAGTCACCAGAGTGATTTGATGTTTTGCCAAAAAACTGCACCAGACGTGATGTATGAGTGGGTGTGTTGCTGTGATGAAGCTGCCAACCATCAGTTTTGCCCATAGCTATGGCCTTCTGAATCAACTGAATAGTTTCCTGGTGGAAATGTACAAGCTTAATGCAAAATTTGATGCAGATTCATTGCTCCACTTGTTCAGTCATTTTGAACATGATGGCCACAAAATACACATGCTCACTCAACAGTGTCTACTGCTCCCACTGACTGGTACAGTGAAGTCACATTGTTCACACATGTGCATTCCAGTCTACTCTCCTTGGCTGCCAGGTTACAACAATGTTATGAAAACTATTCCTGTCATATTAACAATGGCTGGACTTTTTCTGGAAAGACATTGTATATCCACTTCTTGTTCATCCATTCATCTACTGATGAACAGCTAGGTTGCTTCCATATCTTGGCTGCTTTATGTAATGCTGTAATGTACATGGGGGTGTGTGTACCTTTTCAAATTAGTGTTTTCTTTTCTTCAGATAAGCACTCAGAAGTGGAACTGCTAGGTCTTTGTTATAGCCTTTGTTTTAAATTGTTTTGTCTTAAACTGATGAACAAAATAAAAACAGAGGCATGGATGCATGGAACAGACTGACAACTGTCAGAGAGAGGGGGATTGGGGAACTGAAGGAAAGAAGGTAAAGAAAAGGTCTAAATAAATCACACACACACACCCCCGCCCACCCACACGCCCAGTGCAGTGATAGCCAGAGGGGAAGGGAGATGGGGAGGGTGGGAAGTGGGTAAAGGGGAGGGGGAAATGGACATGGAAGGAGACTCTGCTTGAGGTAATAGCACAACCCAGTGTGCAAATGATGTTTTATTGAGCTGTACACTTGAAATCTGTATGGTTTTGTGAACCAATGTCAACCAATAAATTCAATTAACAAATAAAGTCTATTTTGTCTGATATAAGTATTGCTATCCCAACTTTTTCCCCCATTTTCTTGAAATATCTTTTTCCATCTCATTACTTTCAGTCTGTGTGCATCTTTCAATCTGAAGTCTCATGTAGGCAGCATATGTAAGGGTCTTATTTTTTATATATTCAGTCACCCTATTATCTTTTGAATGGAGCACTAAGTCCATTTATATTTAAAATAAGTTTTTAAATTTTATTATTTTTTCATTACCATTTATCCCCCCATACCCTTTCCACCTCCATTCCCCCTGCAATATAAAGTAATTTTTGATAGGTATGTACTTGTTGCCATTTTAACTGTTTTCATACTAGATTTATAAGTGGTCTACTATCTTCACTGTATGTTTCCCTGTATTAGTGCAATCGTGAAAAATATTTTTTTTATTTATTTTTCAAAAGAGGGGAAGGGAGGGAGAAAAATGGGGAGAGAAACACTGTTGTCTCTAACACCCCCAACAGGATACCTGGCCTGCAACCCAGGCATGTGTCCTGATTGGAAATTGAATGGGTAATCTTTTGGTTTGCAGGATGATGCCCAACCCACTGAACCACACCAGTAAGGGCTAGTGAGATTTTTTTCTTTCATCTATTTTATTTCTAGTTTTTACCTTTTCTACTTAAAGAATTGTCTTTAAGGTTTCTTGTAATGCTGATTTAATGGTGATGAACTCCATTAGCTTTTGCTTGTCTGGCAAAAGAAAATCTTTTTTGTTTTTTGGTCTGAGAAAATCTTGATATCCCTCATTTCTGAATGATAACCTTGCTGGGTAGAGTGAAGTAGTCTTGGTTGTAGGTTTTTCCCTTTCATCAAGTTAGGGAAGTTTTCAGCCATTATTTCTTCAAATAGTTTTTCCATCCCTATCTGCCTCTTTTCTCCTTCAGGGACTCCTAAGATTTGAATGTCAGTATGCTTGATGTTGCCCCAGAGATCCCTTATGGTATTCTTATTTTTTCGCCTTTGACCTTCCCCTTTGACCTACAATTGGGTGATTGCCGCTATCCTGCCATTCTTCTGTGTCATCTAACCTGCTGTTGATCCTCTCAAGTGTATTTTCTCATTTCTGTTTTTATATTCTTCAGCTTTGATAGGTTCTTTTTTATACTTTTTTTCTTTGTTGAAGTTCTTGCTGAGCTTACCCACTTGCTTGCAGAGTTTAATGAGCACCTTTATAATTATTACTTTGAACTCTTTACCTATTAGACAGCTTACCTCCATTTCTTTCAGTTCTTTTTCTGGTGTTTTGCCTTTTTTTTTGGTTTGTTTGGAACATACATTATTCTCTCTTTATGTGCCTCTGTTTCCATGTATTAGTTCAGTTGTGTCTCCTGGTTTTGAAGAGTGAAAGTGATCTTATTTAGAAGGTGTTTTGTGAAGCCCAGTGGTGGCATCCAACCTTGTCTCCAAAGCCAGGTGCTCCAAAGGTGTTCCCTGGGTGAACTAGAGTGAACTCCTTTTGTGGTTGGACCACAATTTCCATGGACATATTGGCAGGTGAGGCTGGTCCCTGGCCCAGTTGGCTGTGAGTCCTGGCCATAACTATTGTGGGCTCATTGGTGTGTAATGCAAGCCATTGGTGTGGCTGGCTGCAAGGCATAATGCTGTATGCTGGCGCTGACTGAGGCTACTTACTGGGTATGGCAGAGAAGGAGCTACTTTGAAGGGGTCTAGTCTGGGTGAGACCTCAGGGAAATTAGAGTTAACAATGCTAGGGTAGAGTTAACAGTGTTAGCAAGCTTAATGAAGAGTATCAAAAATGGTGTCTGCCAGCATGAGACCAATTAGGTGGTAGGAGAGGAAAAAAGGGGGGAAAATGGCTCCTACCAGCACTTCTGACTCCAATAGGTTCCTGTCCTTCCAGCACATACCCTGTAATTGGTCAGTATATCACTTTCATGTATGAACTATGTGCTTTTCAAACTGCTGCCTTTGTTCTGAGACTCTGAAAGAAGGCATCTTCAGATTCCTACATCCCTTTAGCATTCCCCAGACATAAGCCCCACTGGTTTTCAAAACCAGAGAGTATGGGTGCTCCTCTTTCTGGTATAGGTTTCCAGGTTAGGGCTGAAACCCTTCAATCTTCAGGGGAGATCTCTGTGGTGTGATATTCCTCCCACTCGTGAGTTACCCGCATGGGGAGTGGGAGGAAGGTAGTTGGGTAACTAGACTTATGATCTTTCCCTACTACTTGTTTCAAAGTGGCTTTTTCTTTAATTTGTAGATGTAGAAAATCGGTTTTGCTAGTCTTCAGGTCATTCCCAGAAATAGCTGTTCTAGATGTAGCTGTAGTTTTGGTGTCAGTTAGAGGAGGTGAGCTCAGGAACTTCCTACTCCCCCCCCCCCCACTCCATCATCTTGAACTCAAAGCCAGGAGCCTTGCTCTTGAATGCCAATTTAGCTTGTCTATGAAACGCCATTCCTTGCAGTTGGTACACTGCCCCCACAACAACTGTCAAATGTCATCTGCCTATTTTTTTTAAAAAAGATTTTATTTAGTTATTTTTAGAGAGAAGGAGGGAGGCAGAAAGAGAGGGAGAGAAACACTGAGGCGAGAGAGAAAACATCAATCAGCTGCATCTCACATGTGCCCTGCACAGGGACCAATCCCACAACCCAGATATGTGCTGACTGGGAATCAAACCAGTGAATTTTGGCTCTGCAGGATGATGCTCAAACAACTGGGCCATAAGAGTCAGGGCCAGTGTCAC